AGCCATGAGACTCTCTTTCGAGGAAGCAAGAAGGAAGAGCCCCGAGTGGGATCTCTGCCCACGGAAGTGTGGCAGGTGTGCCGTTTCTAGAACTTACTGAACACCTGTTATGTGCCAGGCACCTTTGCACACATTACCTCGCTGAGAACTCACCGCACTTGGTGAGCTCATCTCCTCGGTCCATGTTGTACGTGAGGAAACGGGGCCTCCGTGAAATTAAAGGACTTCCCCCCACATTTCACACATAGTAAGGGACAAACCCGAGACTCCATCCGGGGTCCCAGAGTCCAGGCGGTTCCCGGAGGCTGGGCCATGCCAGCAGGGGGCAGTGCGGTGGGAGTCCCCTCCACTCCCACCGCACTGCCCCGCCTGCCAGGGTTGTGGCAGGAGTTGGCAAGGCAGGACCCAGGGGAGCTTTAAAATATTTGGCCAAATACCTAAACCATGTTGATTCTCTTTTCCTTTTTTGTTCAAGCCACCTTCTGGCACCTACCAAGTTGCTTATGTGGGGTCGGCATGGGATGAGCTTATTTAGTGTGATGATATTCTAGATTTCTCTGACTTAATTAATTGAGAGACTTTTGTAAAATAACTTGGGTTCATGGGGTGCCTGGGTGGCTCAGTCGGCTAAGTGTCTGACTTTGGCTCAGGTCATGATCTCACAGTTCGTGGGTTCAAGTCCCACATTGGGCTCTGTGCTGACAACTCCGAACCTGGAGCCTGCTTTTCTCTCTGCCCCTCCCCTGGTCACGCTCTGTCTCTCTCTCTTTCTCAAAAATAAATAAACATTAAAAAATTTTTAAAAAATAATTTGGGTCCTTAACTACATGGATTCAAACACTGTGTTTCTATCCTTGAAGCCCCGTTAGTCGCTTCTATTATGCAATATGTTCCTTGCTGGCCTCTGTCAACAACCATGACCTCAATTCAAGTTTTTGTTTTGTTTTTCTCTTTCTCCTCCTACTCAGCTATCAATAGAAAAACAGGCACCATTGGGGGCATATGGAAATTAAAGGAAAACATAGTTTTACCTATAATGTCACCTTTTTGCTTTAAAGAAAAAAGTCTTGTGTCTATAAACATAGAATGAGGTCATCACACTCCTCCTCCTTAAACGCCAGAAAGAAACAACAAACTTCATGGTACCTTGTGCTGCGAGTCTGCAGAATTAACGTATAGCGCCTGGAGGTACACCTTCCTTCAATTTCACATCGCAAGTGCCGCTTGTGTTTTGTTCCTGCTTTGGCGTTGTGTGTCTCTCCTTCCAAATATACAAATGCACGAAGAGTTAAGAACCGACGAGGAAGCAGAGGTGATGGATGAAGACTCACGGAAAGCGGGGGACCAAGGAGGAGGAGGGGCCGGAGCCGGATCGGGGAGCACGACCAGCCCTTGCAGAAAACACCTGTTTCCGATTACAGGTCTCTTAATTAGACACACGCAATTCTTGAGTTTAAACATGACACCCCCCCAATTCCGTCAGCCACCCACTGCCGTTCTCCAGGTGTTTGCGATTATGTGCTGTCCTAAAAAAATCATCTGGATCGTGTCGACTCTCAGAGCACTGCTTGAGTTTACAGAAGTCCCACGCAGGCGTTCGTTTATACTTAAGGTTCTCAGTGCAACATTTACAGCACTTAGGACAATGAAATAAATCAAAGATAATCATAAGTAAAGGGTCCTTGGTTCCCGATCTTTCTTTCCTCCCAACGGCAAAAAAGTGTGGCTTCTGCTTTAAGTAGTAAAAGGTAGGCATGATGGGCTCAGTAAAGCCTCATTAACCAGACTTCTCTAATTCAGATCTTATAGTACTTAGAATGGGAGAAATAATGTTTACTTTTGTGTTACCAGAGAAAAGGGGACATCCACACTGAAAAAGAGGGAAAGTGGGGATAACCACCTTCTCAGTCTTTGAGAAACAGCGTCGGCATCGCTTTCTAAAATAAAACTTGCAGCGCGCACACACAGGCACACAAACACACACACACCTCTCTCGCTTGGTGTCCACATAAATTTTCATCTTTAAATGAGTCATGCTCACTACAATTTACTTTTTAAAGTTGCCTAACATATTTTTAGATGATTAACCACTTGAAAGTCCCTAGGCTTGGATAATTGAAAAATCTTCAGGGATGGAAAGAATATGATTTGAAAGAGACTTCTTTGAGAACCCGGAGCTTGAGGCCAAACAGAATGAAAATTGCCTTTGTTATGCAGTTATTTTAATTAAAAATGCATGCATAACAGGGAAAGGAAAGCGATTCTCCACACTGCTCCTAGTTTGGTTGTTTGAGATTTGGAAGCTTTTTATTTTTTCTCATCAGTGTTTTTGTTTTTTTTTTAAGTTTGTTTCTTTTTGAAAGAGAGAGAGAGAGAGCACAAGCAGGGAAGGGGCAGAGAGAGGGACAGAGGATCCGTGCTGACCACAGAGAGCCCAATGTGGGGCTCAAACTCATGACGGGAGCTGAAGTCTGATGCTTAACCGACTGAGCCACCCAGGTGCCCCTCCCCTTGTTAATGTTTAAGCTTTGTCTGAGGTCCTAAGTCCTTCATTCCCGTTTCGGCCTCTATAGGAGTCCCAGGTCTTTTCTGCCTTGTTACCCATGAAAGTCAGAGCTGGCTACAGTGTCCTCGTACCTAGAATGGCGTTATTCTTCTAGTTCTCCGTGTTTTCCCTTGTCTCTCGGCCTTCTTGGCCAGCCACAGTTCGCCCAAAGAGGGACCAAATATTCACCAGCTTCTCTGCAGAATAAAGCATATCCCTTCTTTTCCTTCACTGATGAATGGTACTATCTTTATGTTTTCGTAAAAGAAAAAAGTTGTTTTCTATTATAAAAAAGTAAACAACTCATTGCAGAAAACCCAAACTATCAGAAAAGTGGAAGGAAGATAATAAAATGTGTTTGCAGTTCCACCATCTGGAGATGAGCTCTGTCCACATTTTGGTTTGTCCATCCAGGCATTTCCGTGCACATCCTAACATGACGGGGTACGATTTCATTTAAATGAACCCATTTAAACTCATCATTGCATGTGGCCCCTTTAAATACAATTCCTGTTCAGTAACCTTTTTTTTAAAGTTAAATAGTATTTCATTTTCCCCTGTCAGTGAATAGACATCTCCATCACTTAAAAAAAATTTTTTTTTAATCTTTTATTTATTTTCAAGAGAGAGAGAGATAAAGAGATAGAGACAGCATGAGAGATAGAGATAGAGAGATAGAGACAGAGCATGAGCCAGGGAGGGGACAGAGACAGAGAGGGAGAGACACAGAATCTGAAGCAGGCTCCGGGCTCTGAGCTGTCAGCACAGAGCCTGATGCGGGGCTCAAACTCATGGACTGTAAGATCATGACCTGAGCCAAAGTCGGATGCTCAACGGACTGAGCCACCCAGGCGCCCCTCTATCACTTTTTAACAGTTGCAGAATGTTCTCTTGTATGGCTGTGCCGTGTAAGTAAGCAAGCCCATCCTCCAGATTGTTCCTGTCTTTTTGCTATTATAGTAAATGTTCCAAAGATAGGTTGTGCCAGCATTTTGTACTCTTGTGGTCTCCTTTGTCCATTTGGAACATGTTTCCATATATGGGGTTGGGGCTTACTCTCTTTTCTTATCTGATCAGTCCATTGTTCCAATACTGCTTATCAGAGAATGTGTCCCTGCTCCCCTGATTTGGAATTGCTATCATCATACGTAAATTCCGCATGCAAATGGGTCTCTTCTCTTCCCATGCCAATGTCCGCCCCCAGCAGATTGGATGATGCCCACCCACCCGGGGGACAGCAGTCTCCTTCACTCGGCTACCAATTCACATGCCAGTCTCTTCCGGAAACACCTTTGCAGACGCGCCGAGAAGTGATATTTTACTATGTATCTGGGCATCCCTTAGCCCAGTCATGTTGACCATCACAACCTAGAACCTTCAATTTCGGTAGCCATCCGCCTGTCGCCTGCTGAGGCCATTCTGTGCACGGTGTACCTCATTGCCATTGCTTGCCAGGGTGACACGCGGAGAGTCCTCACGGCAGCCAGCCCTGATTTCTCAAGGAGAAGGGGGTTTATTACATGGCTACGATATAAGATTTCAACAGCTTGACGGCGGCAGGTCTTTACTTGCCCTTGGTTTGGGGTAGGAGGAGGCGTAGTAAGTGATGGCCTGTTTTCCCAGCATGAATTCTGAGCCAGTTGAGAAGCTGAAAGAGAAAGATGGCAGACACACCCAAAACACCTTGTCTCCAATAAAGCAAATATTGGAGAATGTGGCTTCTCTCTACCTGCAACTGGCCTTCCAAATGCTGTATGCAAAACTTAGGCAGACTCTATTCTGATCCCACTGGCTGTGCTGGACCCATGAAGGCCACTGCCATGGGGGCTGGCCCCTCCCAGAGGCACTTGCTTTCTCTGGGCAGGCTGATTACCAAAAAGGAAGGCGAGAGGCAGGGGTTTGGCCTTGAATAGCAGCTAGTACAACTGAGGAGCTGAAGTTTTAATTTTCTTCTACTTCAATTAATTTAAACTTAAAGAGCCACACGTGGCTAGTGGCTAGTGGCTAATGGCTACTCTTTCGGACAACACAGAATTTCTTTCCATTCTTAGCATGGACATGCCCCTAGAAAAGTTGACTTTAATTTATGTGAATTTGGGGCACCTGGGTGGCTCAGTCACTTCAGTGTCCAACTCTTGATTTCGGCTCAGGCTGTGATCTCACAAACCGTGAGATGGAGCCTGGCGTTGGGCTCTGCACTGACAGTGTGGAGCCTGCTTGGGATTTGGGATTCTCTCTGTCTCTCTCTCTCTCTCTCTCCCCACCCCCACCCCAACCTTTCTCTCAAAGATGTCATCTGGGCTAGCACGGCCCTTTCACTGAGATTCATTCCCTCAGCTTGCCCTCTGGTCTTTGTCACTTCTGACACTTTCCTCACCGCATTTTCTGTAGAAAAAGTGAACAGTTCCTCACAGCTGCCAAACACTTACTTTTTCTTCTGCTTGTTTTCTCAAAGGTATCGTACCTCCTGGATGGGGGCAGCATGGCCCATGAGGACTTCTGTGGACATGTTGGTCAGATGAACCCAGGAGACCTGCAGGTATGGCCAAAGACAAGGGGCTGCTGCTAGTTTCATAGTCTTTGGGTACGCCTGCTTCCTCTCACCCGCTTCTAGTACATTCCTGCTTTCCTCCCCCTCTCCCTTATATTTTTGACCTCTTCCTTTCTGTGGATCCTTCCACGTAGCCTAGAAACCTGCACAGGCTTTATATATTCCTCTCTCAAGCTTTCCTTGACCCCCTCAATCACTTTTTAGCTCCCACCTGGTCCTTGTCTTAACTTTCTCAAAAGCATAGTCAAGAGTGATTCTCTTAACTTCCTCCTCATCCATTTCATCCTTCACCCACTGAAATCAAGGCTGGCCTCACAACCCACCCAAACCCCTACTGAAAGCCATTCAGGCAGTGGTCATGCATGATGTCCCCATTGCCAAAGTCACCATACTGGTTTCAGCCGTTGTCTTTCTAGACCTTTCTGCTGCACTTGCAACAATTGACCGTTTATCTTCCAACCTGTTCGCGGGGGTAGGTGTTGTCACTTAAGATGATGATCCAAACCTTGCCGCAGCCCTAGGCTTGTTTGAGACATGTTAGAATCTCCAGGGAACGCCTGGGTATTCTTTGCTGGGTTTGTAAGTCTGAGCTCTGTGTCAGGAACTTTCTGGTATTATTTACATATCTCGTGGAGTGATAACTGCAGATATTTGCATTGTGGTGTTGTTTCTGTGGACACAAAATTGAAAGCATTTTCATACGCATAATCTCTCTAAGGTAAGTATTCTTTTTACGTCACTTTTAAAATGAGAGAATGGGGATTTTTACTGTTTAAAAAAAAAAAAAAGGATGCGCTTGGCCTCAGAGCTAGTAAATGGTGAGGTCGAAAAGAGAAATCTGGGGGCCCCTGGGCAGCTCAGTCGGTTAAGTGTCTGACTCTTGATTTCCGCTCAGGTCACGATCTCATGGTTCGTGAGCTCGAGCCCTGCATCAGGCTCTACGCTCCCAGCTCAGAGCCTGCTTGGGATTCTCTCTCTGCCCCTCCTCCGCATGTGCCTGCACTCGCTCTCTTGCCCTCTGTCAAAATAAATAAAAAAGAAAAAGGGAAATCTGTTATCACTGCCCCCCTAAATCCAGTGCCTAAAAAAGGATGAAGAAGGTATGAAAAGTAGATTGAAAACATGGAGCTCTGAGCTGTGAACGAAACACGAAAACAAACGAGAACAGGTCTTTGAGGAGCACCCCCGGCTGCAGTCAGGTGGAGGCAGTGCAGCATGGGAGGGCATTGCGATCGGCGGCATGTTGCCTTAGATGCTTTCTCTAAGGACCAGGTAGCGAGTATTTTAGGCCTCGAGGGTCATAGGGTCCCACGTGTGGCAACTTGTCAACTCTGCCTTCACGGCACTAAAGCGGACCGCATGGCCGTGAACAGGCACATCTGTGCGCCAGGAAAACTGAATGTACGAAATCTAGTGGCCGGCTGGATTTGGCCCCTGTGCTAGCTTTCATCAGTCTTCTCACATGGAACACGAAAATGTATTTAGATACGTCGTGGCCTGCTTTCAGGTCTTGGAGCTGGTACTGCTCATTCTGGACTCAGCCTCTCCGCATGCTGTTCTGTTGTGCTGAATCTCTTCCTCCCCTCCCTACCCCCCCCCCTTCCCTGGTCAGGCCTCACTCCCCGTCTGGGTCTCAGCCTGCAGCTTGCACCCCCAGGTGAGCTGCCTGGGACAGGCAGGCCGCTCCATGTGCTCTCACACACATCCGTCATGCCCCGCAGCGTGCCAAGCGCAATCACAGGTCAGACATTATTTGTGCAGTTGTTTATGGAGTTCTCTCCCCGCGAGGGCTGTGCGGAAGATGCTGTCGGTGGCCTGCATCTTTGCCGTCGGGCCCCCCTGCGTCCAGGGCTTTCTCGGCAGCCAGGTGTGCTGGGGGTTAAACACCCCCGAGGAACTGTTGTCCCAAAACGGACGGGAGTTGCTGGGTAAAGCACCTGGCTCCTCCGCCCCTCTGCGCACCCATCTGCACGGCTTGTGGTGGGGCTGGGCCCCAGGCGCCCACGGATGTCACCTGCTCACTCACACCCTGCTCCCCTGCCCGGCTCACTGTTTCCTCCGTCGCCCGTGCTCCCTGCACGCCGGGGGCCCACCGCGCGCCCTCCAGCGCTGCGAGGATGGACTCGGTGGCTCACAGCTGCTTCTGTCCCAGGCACTGCCCTCTGCGGCAGGAACCGCCTCTCCCAGGCTGCGTCTCCCCCTGCGGGTGGCGCACAGGTCACGGTGGGGCGGTGTAGGGAGAGCGAAGCCCGCTTGCCTCCCTTTGGCTTGGGAGGATTCTGCAGGCCCTCCCGAGGCAGGAGCTCCGTGTGGGACTGGCCGAGGCCTCCACTGTCCCTGCATCGCTGGCCGGATTCTCTCCCCGTGCGATAGTGTTTGGTTTTTCCCTTACGGTGTATCTGCTGAGAGTGCACCCCCTGTGCCAGCTGCCTGCCGCCCCCCCTCCCCCCCCAGAGCTCGGTCTCAGACTCGGGGCTCCCAAAGACAAGATTCTTCCATTTGTGTGAATTTCAGAGCTGACGCTTTGCATTCAAATGAGGAAGTGGGGGGAAGCTGTTGGAATCCTGGAGATGGCTTCAGCAGTGGTCACCATGGCCTTGTTATTCCTCATGACTCCCGGGGACTCCAAAAGCAGCACTTGTAAGGTGCCTGGCTTCAGCCCCATGACCTAGTTGTCCCCCGGCAGCCTCGTTAGAGCTTGGGTTACATTTCCTCCTTGTTGGTCCCCTGTTTGCAGTGGATGACCGCGGGCCGGGGCATCCTGCACGCTGAGATGCCTTGCTCTGAGGAGCCAGCCCACGGCCTACAACTGTGGGTCAATCTGAGAAGCTCAGAGAAGATGGTGGAGCCTCAGTACCAGGAACTGAAGAGTAAAGAAATCCCTAAACCCAGTAAGGATGGCGTGACAGTTGCAGTCATTTCCGGAGAAGCCCTGGGAATAAAGGTGAGCCACGCGATCACGCGTCTGTGAGAGCTGAGGTGTGCGGTGACAGGAGGCCGGCCCCATCCGGGTCGCCACCTGTCACCAGGGTGAGCCCCGTTCACGTCCCACAGGATGGACTTGCTTCAGGGGTGTCAGAAGAAGTGGAACTTAAGGGGACCCAGACATGTGGTTGCCACATGCAAACACATAGAGTTAGGAAAATTACAAGAAAGTAAGCTCATAGAAAAAATTTGGTAAAAAAGCAATGTTTGGGGTGCCTTGAGGGGGTGGGGCTCAGCTGGCTGAGTGTCCGACTTTGGCTCAGGTCATGATCTCGAGGTTTGTGAGTTCGAGCCCCATGTCGGGCTGGCTGCTGTCAGCACAGAACCCATTTCAGATCCTATGGCCCCCTCTCTCTCTCGGCCCCTCCCCCTCTTGCACTCTCTCAAAAAAAATGTTTTTTTTAAAAAAAGCAGCTTATAAGGTATATCTTAGCATGTGTGTGAGCTCTAGCCTTTCGCTTCTAGTACAGTTTCATAGCTCCTCGGTTACTGCAAGTTTGTGACCTTTGAGAGACAAACACCAAAACCAGCTCCACTCCCTGCGGATTTATTTAAATCCTTTGTGCCCAGCTTAGTAAGAAAAGCACGCTGCTGCATCCTGGGGAGGTTTCTTTTTTTTTAATTAACTTGAATATTTCTTTAACCCATATGTGCCATGCCCTGTACCTTCTTCTCAACGGAGACTGTATAATATTTAGGTTTAGGGTCCCACCCTTTCTATCACATAAGATCAATTTAGGCTAAAGATTCTGGACACATTTGTGGTAGGAAAAGGGTGTGGCGGGAACTGTGCTAATTAACTGCCCGCCAGAGCCACCGCTGCGGAGACCCCGGGATTCACGGTGATGGCCGGCTGGGTAGTGAGCTGGGTCGTGTGGTCTCTTAGGTGATGTTTCCCAGAGGCAGGCCCTGAGAGGGGAATTCATGCGCAAGTGATCATAAAGGAAGTGTCCCTAGGAGAACAGAAGAAGGAACCAGGACGGGAAGGCAAGGGTGTCCTCTCAGGCAAAGTCCCAAAGAGGACAGAGACTCTGGAAGGTTCATTCGGCCTCTAAGCTGCCCTGACCCATCCTGGGCAAGGGAGCTGGGCTTTCATGTTCTCTCACTCAAAGGAATTACTTCATGGCCATTGAGCGGGGGCGGGGGCACGCCTGGAAATGGTTCACAGGGCTCCTGGGGAATCTGGAGGTTCTGACATCCGGTTCCACAAATGCCACCATATTGGAAACCACTTTGCCATTCTCCCTGTGGGCGGTCAGTGCTTAAAACTATTTTAAGTACTAACTTATGTACATTTCAGTTCTGTTTATACGCGCCCACGGGGGTAATGGCTCGGCCGTGGTGACTAGCCAGCCACTCGGGGGAGCGTGTGCTGGTCAACAGGTCAGGTCAGGATTATTGGTTGCGTCCCTTTGCTTTGTGTTTCTAGGACAGACAGAAGTCGCTGAAGAACAAAAATCAAAATTTGCTCTCCATTGAGCATATATATCTGACTGTTTATATCCCTAGCAGGCCTGTGGCTTACTTTGCAGTTGGAAACGTGACCCTTCCTCGTGTTCCTGTGAGCCAACAGTGCCCCGTTCAAATGTGCGTCAAGGCTTTCCTCCACTAGAGAATTCACACGCCGCAGTCTTCTTGGTGGAAGGCCAAGGACGTCGTCAGTTGTAGGGTCAGGCGGGGAGGCCTAAGGAGAGCTGAAATGGGGCAGGTGCTAAGCGGCTCCTTCTGATGCCTGTGGCAGTTTTCATTCCGCATGTCCGGGACTCTGGGGTTCTAGGGACACACCTTCAGGGGACACGGATGCAGAGGGTGGCAGTCGAGAGCATTCCCCCCCCCCCGCCCCCCGCCACTTCACTCTTGCCAAAGCCCAAGGCTTTGCCCAATCATGGATATTGGAATTGTCCTTAAGATTTCATTTAGAAAAAAGAGCTGTCTGCGGCTAAAAAGAGAAGTTAGACCACAGATTTAATAGCTAAGCAAAGCCAGCGATACCACGAATCCTTAGAGCTCACAACTGCTTCTCATTGATGGCAAACACAATGCAGTTTTGCTCTTGGAGCTGGTTGATTACAGGCGGGAGGGCATTGTAAAGTACTCCCGCGCGGCAGACCGCGTGCTCTCGCAATCGCAACCAGGAATGAGGGACCAGAGGTAATGTTTTCACTTTGTAAAATCATGTCTGTGTCACGCTGCCAGCCTTGCTTTTTTTCTTTTTGTCGAATAAAATCTCGGAAGTGAACTACATTCGCCTAAGTAAATGATCAGCCTTTATTATGAGAACATTTTAATAAGGGACTCTTGGTACCCTGGTCAGCGTTAATTTGAATTTTGAGAGGCAGTGTGGTCCCGTGGACACGGCCTGGCCTCTGGAGACAGTCAACCTGGATTAGAATCTCCACCATGAATTAGCTGTGTGGCTTCGGGCAAGCCACTTAACCTCTCTGTGCTTCACTGTACTCCTCCATAACATAGGGTTGCTGTGAAGATGAAGTGAGTTTTTGATATATTTAATCTATCAAAACAGCACCAGACACATTGTGAGTACCACGTAAGTGGTAGCTGTTCCTATTATTATTTGGTTACTTCGTGTTAACTTGGGCAGGAGCTGGGCTGCGATTTATGTTTGCTGTCAGTGCTAAAGGGGCTTTCTGGGATTCGGGAAAGGCCGTTAACCTGCTCTGAAGGAGAGATACCAGCACGAGTCACTGTAAAGAAGGTGGGACTATCGGCCATTTGTATTCGGCTCGCCAAGGAAAGACTGAGCCTTAAAAAGCCTCGATGTGCCTTAAATCAAACTGAAGATTGTTTTGCGTTGGGAAGATAATTTTAAGCTCCATTACAAGGTGAGGCTGGGAAAATACCTTTCACGAGATTGATGTGTTTCTAGTCAACAACGGCTCCTCTCCTCTAACTACAGCATTTAGAAGATGAAGTTAGTGACCATCCCAGCCCGTTTCCAGCTTTATTCATAAGCTCCCCTGATTCAGCAGGTGCGGTGAGGCCCGAGTGTCCACTATTAGCCAGCTCCCAGTTGATGTCAATGCAAGGGTCCAGGGACCAGTGTTTATAATCCATGTAATGACTGCAGGACCCAAGACACAGGACTTGACTGACCATGAGGAACAGGCTGATGGTGCGCCCAGAGAAGATGCCAAGGTCCAGCCGTGAGGCTTTTGGCAAATCTTAGTGAACCTTTCTGGACTTGAGTTGCGCGACATCCATAAAAAAGGTGACGGAATTTTGTGCAAGATGCTAGAAGCTTTTGCAGGTAGCACAGCTGTCCTTTTTTTTTTTTTTTTTTTAGTTCGAAACGTAGATTTGTACCTATTCCCAGGTGCTATGTGTCTCTGCTCTTGGGGTTGGAAAGCCACAGCCAGTTTCTTTTAATTTAAAAAAAAATTTTTAATGTTTATTCATTTTTTGAGAGACAGAACAGAGCATGAGTAGGGGAGGGGCAGAGAGAGTGGGAGACAGAATCCGAAGCAGGCTCCGGGCTCGAGCTCTGGGCTCGAACTCGCCACAAGATCATGACCTGAGCTGAAGTTGGACACTCAAACAACTGAGCCAGCCAGGCGCCCTGGCCACAGCCAGTTTTGAGCCAAATTATGCCAGGACATCACGATCTAAAGAAAAGAAGAAAAGATAAAAATGAGATATTTTGAATAGTTTCTGTCCCTTCTAGAAGGTCAAAATCCCAAGTTTATTTCATGACCATATGAAATTCTCCAAAGCCCATTCCATCCTTATCAGGATGAGCCATGTTTATTGCCAGTTCTCTCTGGAATATAATTTTTTTCCAACAAATGCTTCTACTCGCCTCCTGCTGTCGTAAATTCCATTGTGTCGGAAGCAAGCCTTGAAGAGGCCTCAGCCCCACTGGGGTCAGAAAAAGGCAATCAGGAGCCAGGCTGCCTTCGGTCAAGGCCAGCTCCACTACTGCGTAACTTCAGAAAAGTCCCAAGTCCCAACTTGTTTGGCCCAAGTGTTCTCAACTGTAAAGTGGGTCGACAGGATTAAATTGGTTAATATGTGTCAAGAACTAAGAACAATACTGGCGCACTTGGGTGACTCAGTCAGCTAAGTGGCTGACTTCGGCTCAGGTCATGACCTTGCAATCTGTGGAATCGAGCCTCGCGTCAGGCTCAGTGCTGACAGCTCAGAGCCTGAAGCCTGCTTCGGATTCTGTGTCTCCCTCTCTCTCTGACCCTGCCCCGCTACTCTCTGTGTCTCTCTCTCAGAAATAAATAAACATTTAAAAAAAAAAAAAAGAACTGGATACAGAAATGCTGAGGCATAGGAGCACATGTACCCCAATGTTCATAGCAACACTCTCCACAATAGCTAAAACATGGAAAGAGCCTAAGTGTCCATCAACAGATGAATGGATCAAGAAGATGTGGTTTATCTATACCATGGAATACTCCATGGCAATGAGAAACCATGAAATCTGGCCATGGGTAGCCACGTGGATGGACCTTGAGGGTGTTATGCTGAGCGAAATAAGTCAGGCAGAGAAGGACAAATGTCATATGTGTGCACGTATAGGAGGACTAGGAGGAACTTAACAGAGGACCAACCGGGAGAAGAAGGGGGGAAATGGTGGGGGAAAGGGAGAGAGGCAAACCATGAGAGACTCTTGAATGCTGACAAAAACTGAGGACTGATGGATGTGGGGGGGAGGGGGGGTGGGCATGGAGGAGGGCACTTGTGGGGATGAGCACTGGGTGTTATGTGGAAACTAATTTGACAATAAACTATTTGTAAAAAAAAAAAAAAAAAAAGAACTTAGAACAATACCTGGTACAGAATAAGCTCTAGGTGGTTACGGCTCTTTCTTTGCCAAAGCTTTGTACTGTGTTCATGTGGCCTATAGACATACAGAAAGGATCTTCCTTTCTATTTAAAAAAATTTTTTTTCTTTAATGTTTATTTTAGAGAGAGACAGAACACGAGCAGGAG